AAGAAGTAAAAATAAATTAAAATTGTTATTTAATTAGATGTAAAGAAAATAAAATTAAATAAATTTTTAAACAAACCTCACAGAGATACTTTGAATATCTAATTCAAATGCAAAAGGATTTGCTAATGTGACCAAAAAGTAAGCGGTCTCGTTTGCTACAAGATGCGTCTAAATAATTAAATAATTGGTAAGAATAAAAAGTGATATTTTTAATCGAATGAAAGAATGCAAATTATATGATTAATGAATACCTGAACAGCATCAGATTTTGCTTGAAAAGAAGGCCTGTAAAGGAAAGGATCTTTTTCACCATCTTCTTTGGATAAAGCATTTTTTCCGGGATGTGGATATGGTACCCTACGTGGTGAAGGGCTAAACAGAAAATTAAACTTGTAACTACTTTGACAGATTAATTGCACATTATTATAATAATTATCGAGGCTATACATACCGACATACTTGTATACCTCGAACAATGTTTAAGCCCCAATATTTAAATTCCATATCTAACCCTTGTTTTTTTCCAGCACCAACGACCCTTGGCAGTGAACTTGATAATCGAAGTTGTTCTTCTCTGGGCAAATACATAAATAATTTACGCAAGAGTCTTGTTGTATACTTGATGATAGATGGATAATCTATAAAGTGGCAAAATATTTAAGTACTAAATACTTAGGACATAAATGTTGGGATGGTGATAATAATACCAGGTAAAGCTTCGGATACTAATAAAGCATCTTTTAATATATCAATTTGAAGGTCTGGCCAGCCAAAGGAAAGGGGCCTCACGTCTTCAACTGCTGCCGAAAAATCTTCGTTATCGACAGCATCCCCCACGCCATACACATCACATACTTTTTTTAAACACATCAATAAACCAATATCACTTCCAATTGGCTGCTTTTGTGTTGATTGATAACCTGAACGAGGCTTGGCAAGAAGTGGTAAAATTAACAAGGCCGTTTGGCGAAGGAAAAATGCATGTTTTCGGCGTAAATTAATTATAGAAAAAATAGTAGACAGTGTAGTAGTTATATGAATCTATAAAAAATTAATTAAATTGATACATGAAAAAAAAAGCTACTAATTAAAAGTAAAAAAACAATAAGCAGAATTAAAATACCTGTTCAACTAATGGATATCTACCTCAAAATGGTAGATATTCTTCCCCAACACATTATTACTCATCTCCCGATCCCAAATCAGTTCAAATTTCTACATTACCCCTCACGCCACCTTCACAAGCCATGACTACTGCTGGCTTGGGTGGTACAACTGCTGGTGTAAATCTAAAAGATAATCCTCTC